CATTTTCATTATGAAAATCTGACTGGGGAGTCACATTTTAGGGGAGTCAGATTTTCATGGTACACCGGGTATTTTCAATGATTTACTGGACGTGAAAGTAAGATATGACATAGATTTCCCGAGCTCGCAATAGCTTTCCCTCGGGAAAGTGGGAAAGCAACATTTCGACCCCTGCCTATAACACATTCAATATATAACATGTCTATATTTTGTATCCATCTTTTCAAAATCTTACTAGAGTAATTTTTATGATTATGCAAGTTTGAGAGTCAATAATATACATATGCACCTACTTGTAATAATTCATGAAAGATATATCTTCGCCTTTGCTTGTAGAAAATTTGTCCTCAGGATTCTTTTCCCATGCAATATCATCAATCCTGTAAGTCTTGTTGTTGTACCTTGTAATGACTGTGCAACCCACCAACTGTCTAGTGCACTCATCCTGAAACCCGTTTTGCTTTTGATGAAGAATTGTGTTCCTACAAAAAAGAATAACACAGATTAAGGTGGATTGATAAGTCAAAATGGCCTCTATTTGTCAAAATAGCCATTTATCTAATTTCCTTAACCCTACAACAGTAACAGGTAAGAAGGCCCAAAAATCCTGATGGGTGGAGGTAGACAACATGAAGGTCAAAACTGTGCTGGATCAAAGCTAGCTCTTTTTTATGACAGAAACTCAGACAGATGACTTTCATGACAGAAATTCAGATGAAACTTTGTAGCAAAAACAATACTTCTATTTTCTTTTTTGTTTTTCAAGTATTATTGATATTTTTTTTTACTTGAAAGACCATGATTTTTTACATTTTTTTATGCTTTATGTTTGTACTGAATATCGCAAAACTCCATGAAACTAAACGTAGATTTTTTTAAAAACATTTTTACATTCATACATTGCCATCTTTTCAATCAACAGAGAAAATTTCAAGCCATTCTGATGAAAAATATAGATGTTTGACATTTTTAGTTCAGCACATTGTATTCAGTGTCATTCTGCAGTATTAATAGGATTTCCCCCCGTGATTACTTGACCAACTGTTAGAACCAGGAAAGGGTTAATGTAAAATATGACTCTAGCTCTTGGTGCAATGAAACTAAATACTTCTTTGAACAAAAATTCTCTCATAGCATGAAAGTGTTCATTTCTGCATTAACTAATAACGAATCAATTCTACATTATCAATCTGCTTTAACTGTGGTACCAACCATCCAGTAATAAGCTTACATTCATGCCTAGCATATCACCATACAAAATAATACAAATCTTTACATTATATCAAAATGTTTTAGTTATAAATAACATGGATTGAGAACATGCAGTATATCAAATGAAAACTTACATAACATCTAATACTGTTTCAGTCCTTAGTACCCTGTGTGAAACATCTGCTAGGAGCAGCAGCCCCCCTTCACGCTCATGTATTGCTGTGATGTAACCAGGCCAAACTTCGAGTCTAAAAGAAAAGGCAATGAAAAACTTGAATGGACCTATAAGTTTGCCAAGTAAAAATCCAATGAAAATAACCTACAAAAATACAAGGTATTTGTATAAGTTTTTCTGAGATGACCACCTGATTTTAAAAAGAACCTCCTTAAAATCCAGCAGTACATATAAAATAATGAAACCTACTTGTGTTGTGGTACCATGGCAGGATGACGAGGATCATAATAGTGACGACTCACTTGTACCATTCCTAAAATGCTCATGATTCTGAAATTGTGAAAACACTCATTAATACTTTTGACTATTGACCACGAGGCAGACATAGAGACAAGTTAACTGTAAAAATATCCAATGAAAGTATCATACAATACTGTAAGTCTGTCATTTAGCTGCTANCCTATAACACATTCAATATATAACATGTCTATATTTTGTATCCATCTTTTCAAAATCTTACTAGAGTAATTTTTATGATTATGCAAGTTCGAAAGTCAATAATATACATATGCACCTACTTGTAATAATTCATGAAAGATATATCTTCGCCTTTGCTTGTAGAAAATTTGTCCTCAGGATTCTTTTCCCATGCAATATCATCAATCCTGTAAGTCTTGTTGTTGTACCTTGTAATGACTGTGCAACCCACCAACTGTCTAGTGCACTCATCCTGAAACCCGTTTTGCTTTTGATGAAGAATTGTGTTCCTACAAAAAAGAATAACACAGATTAAGGTGGATTGATAAGTCAAAATGGCCTCTATTTGTCAAAATAGCCATTTATCTAATTTCCTTAACCCTACAACAGTAACAGGTAAGAAGGCCCAAAAATCCTGATGGGTGGAGGTAGACAACATGAAGGTCAAAACTGTGCTGGATCAAAGCTAGCTCTTTTTTATGACAGAAACTCAGACAGATGACTTTCATGACAGAAATTCAGATGAAACTTTGTAGCAAAAACAATACTTCTATTTTCTTTTTTGTTTTTCAAGTATTATTGATATTTTTTTTTACTTGAAAGACCATGATTTTTTACATTTTTTTATGCTTTATGTTTGTACTGAATATCGCAAAACTCCATGAAACTAAACGTAGATTTTTTTAAAAACATTTTTACATTCATACATTGCCATCTTTTCAATCAACAGAGAAAATTTCAAGCCATTCTGATGAAAAATATAGATGTTTGACATTTTTAGTTCAGCACATTGTATTCAGTGTCATTCTGCAGTATTAATAGGATTTCCCCCCGTGATTACTTGACCAACTGTTAGAACCAGGAAAGGGTTAATGTAAAATATGACTCTAGCTCTTGGTGCAATGAAACTAAATACTTCTTTGAACAAAAATTCTCTCATAGCATGAAAGTGTTCATTTCTGCATTAACTAATAACGAATCAATTCTACATTATCAATCTGCTTTAACTGTGGTACCAACCATCCAGTAATAAGCTTACATTCATGCCTAGCATATCACCATACAAAATAATACAAATCTTTACATTATATCAAAATGTTTTAGTTATAAATAACATGGATTGAGAACATGCAGTATATCAAATGAAAACTTACATAACATCTAATACTGTTTCAGTCCTTAGTACCCTGTGTGAAACATCTGCTAGGAGCAGCAGCCCCCCTTCACGCTCATGTATTGCTGTGATGTAACCAGGCCAAACTTCGAGTCTAAAAGAAAAGGCAATGAAAAACTTGAATGGACCTATAAGTTTGCCAAGTAAAAATCCAATGAAAATAACCTACAAAAATACAAGGTATTTGTATAAGTTTTTCTGAGATGACCACCTGATTTTAAAAAGAACCTCCTTAAAATCCAGCAGTACATATAAAATAATGAAACCTACTTGTGTTGTGGTACCATGGCAGGATGACGAGGATCATAATAGTGACGACTCACTTGTACCATTCCTAAAATGCTCATGATTCTGAAATTGTGAAAACACTCATTAATACTTTTGACTATTGACCACGAGGCAGACATAGAGACAAGTTAACTGTAAAAATATCCAATGAAAGTATCATACAATACTGTAAGTCTGTCATTTAGCTGCTACATGTGGTCAAGTAAAAAAAAAATTTTTTTACTAGAAATAATTCTAGGAAAAAAGGAGTATGCTTATCCTCGAGCTTCTTGCTCACCTCCTAAAAATCACATTGAATAATGTGGTCATAGACTGAAGCCTCACTATTTTGACTAGCTTTATTGTAATAGTTATTTCAGCACCATCAGTATGACGTATGGACTTCAAAACTGTCTCCTGAAAACACCACATACAGGTTCAATTATTGGTATCACAAACATTAGTAAATCAGGTGTATAATCATTCAATATTACTTTCTAGGATCACTTAAGCATTTTCTGCACAAGTCAAATAAAATATAAATGTACATCTACATCCAAGTAAAATGTTGAAATCAATGTCAATTTGGTGAAAAAAGCAATCAAATATTCCCTTTTATACTTGATCCTAGTTCAGGATTAATTATTTTACAAATGTTAAGAAAGACAAAGCAAAGTTTTTACCAATAGAATGATACTAAACAGACTTTCTTACCTTTTGGTCAAGCTTCTTTGGAAGATATAAAATAGCACCATCGAACTGTTTTGTGGAGCCTATAGTGTCCTTGTGTTCATTCACCATCTTAAAACGCATGTTTTTGCTGTCTATGTCAGGTCTAAAGGAGACAGCATACTGGAACACATGCTCCATATTGCAACTAACTGCAATATGGTTTGCAGAGAGTGATATTCTGAAAGTCAAAGATGGAAATATACTAAATATTTCAAGTTAATTTTTTTTAAAAACATTTAACTATCACACCAGGGATGTGATATCATATTATATGCATATTTAAAAAAAATAAAACGCTTACAGTGTTGCTCATCCTTACTTAAAGATGCATATGAACTCAATTTTTTTGCCACAAAAGCTGACCAAATGCCAGCATATAGATTCAAATAGTATATTACCAAAAGACATCGTTTATATTACCCGAAAAATGATATTTGATCGAATTTTTCTGCCAGCTTTCTATGCTGTGTATAACTGGGTCAGATAAGTAGATTAAATTTCTGACCAAAAATTTAAAGACCAGATTAAAGCACTTTTATGGTTGACTGATTGATTCATTCAGTTTATCCTAGTAACTAGTAGAAGTGGTTTATATGCGTTACTGGGAAATCCATGCTCCACCAATGCTTGATCCATATGTACCTTTAAGGAAATAAGCACACATGAATATTGAGTGGTCTCTTACCTAGTCATCAACATGAATGTTTTACAATATTATTAATAAATACTGAAAGATAATAAACTTACGGCTGGCCAGAAGAGCCATGCTTCATCACAGCTGGTTTATCAGCAACTTCTAACATGGACATCTGCTGTGTAATTCCCTGCTGTGTGGGTACAGTAGGAGACGGGTGTTTTGGAAGGTGTGGCGACTGCATCTGTGCAGTTTGTGCTGCCAAGGCAGACTGGATTGAAGCACCCCTGCCTGCGGGCTGACCAGAAGGAGATGGTGAGGAAGACTGAGAAGCCTGTCGTAGTTGCTGCTGTTGCATCAATAATATTCCTCTGCCTGCACTGACTTGTGTGGCTGTTTGAATTGTGCCTCTCCCTTTAACATATTACAGAGTTAAAAATCAATTCTGACTGAAATAATCTGCATTTCAAAGAGAATCGTTTCTCAATCAGCTTCTAAAAGAAACGATTGACCCTTTTTACTCAATTTCTAGACATTTTTTTATTGGATTCTTAATCCTTAACTTTTGTCTGCCCTTAAAAAAAGGGTTTACACAAGTGTACACATAAAAATTCCCTGTCATGAGTTGATAACTTTCAACATTTACCTAAGGGACCAGACGTCTCTGCTATTGGTTCTGTTTTCTGCTCTCTCATTTGTTGCTGCTGTAAGAGGCTTGCCAAATAGGCCCCTCTTCCCATAGGCACTGGATGGGACGTGGGTAAACCATGTCCATTCTGTCCACTTCCATTCACATTCTGTAAATATCATTGTAGAGTAATACCATCAAAGGAAACCATGGTCTTAGGTTTTTAAGAGTAACTGCAGATTAAGATTAATTTTCTTTTCTTGCGTTTTTAATCTAACCCTTGCACAACAAGGCCAAGACAGCACATTTTATGATTTGAACAGCAAAGAACTTAACACCCAAAACTGACAAAATGTACATCAAATTGGATTTCATTTTCTTTTGCCACAGTATATGGTATGTGATCTAAACAGCTTGCACGCCTAGCTATAGATCAATCAGTCACATTTTCTAAAATATGATATTGAAATAAGCATACATTTTACAAAAACATGACCTCTCTTGACATTTGTTTATCATAAACATGCAATAAATATCATAGGCTGCATTCAGAACAGTGGGCTAACTAGTTCGCGAGTCAAATACGGCAACCCACTAAAAAGCTTGCTGTCTAATCTGCTAATAGACACTGAATAGATTCTTTGCTGTTCTGAATGCAGCCATACAAACCTGTTCAGGTTGGGAAGGAGGCTGGCCTGGCTTTCTGGCTGGCTTGCTCAATGCCTCCAGTAAAGCTGCCCCTCTTCCTCCTCTTCCATAACCGGACATGTTTCTAAAATAGAAATTATTTATGACTCATATTATATAATCATTCTGCATTGTAAGCACTGGTCCTAAAATTAAGACCCCATTCCCATAGATTTTAGATCGACCCCATTCCCATAGATTTTGGATCGATCTATCCCTGTGGGAAGTCTCACTAGATTACTGTCAGCTTAGCCAGCTTAAGCGCCTGTCCTGCCTACTAAAAGCTGTAAGGGGGTAATTAACTATGGTGCGCGCTCGGCTGACTGCAATTTAGCATGAACCCCCAGGGCGTTGGGTTGATCTAAATCTAAATCTCTGGATCCATCTAAATCTCTGGGAATGCACCCTAATTGTGTTAAATTGACGAATTACTTGCATAAGTTTCTGGTTTGGGTTGGTAGATTTTTAGACCAGATGCCCCAAATGACCAGTACGTAACATTATAAGGACTTTATCATAGAGAACTACAAAAATGCCTCTATTTTCAAACATACATTCCTAGTTCTGGTCAGGAGGGCCAGATGCATTGATCTGTGCCTTTTTAGGTAAAACAATCGTAGATCCATGATTCATCATTTAAAGTGAAGCCTGAAGGGGCAACCTGTCTATGTCCATGAATAAAATCCCTTGGACATACATTCATACTGAAACTGTCCAGTTCAACTCCAATACCAAGCAATGGTGAAGCTAAGGCAGAAATATGTACATATATTGGGCCAATGGGCCAGCAAATACCAACTGGCAACTTAACATGTACATAATTTTTTGCAATATGTATGAGTTATTCTAAATTTTAAACTAGTTAATGAATTGCTCAACTAATATGTTCGAGTATTGGAGATCCATGGACGGATGATTCTCTATCAAAATTATCAATTAACACATGAATTTTACCTAGAAATATCCCCATCATAGTAAATGTATGAGGTAGGAAATGAACTAGCCAAATACAACAGTACAGGTGAATAACAACAGATCATTCAAGAATACACACGCCTGCTGTGTACGTCGGTCAGGACGGATGGTTCAAGCAGAACGGACCGTACACGTGACAGGGGAATATTGCGAAAGTGCCCAGGAATTTATGGATATGTAACCAGCCACAGTGCATAGTGCTAGCATTTTTTTTTCTGCAAATCAGTTCTTATTCATCACTTTTTTTTACCACAGATGGTGTAAATTTGACCTAACTAGTCAAACCAACTCTACTTTGGTCAGCTTTAAAAGCAGTTGACAAGGTAGGGAATTAAGTCTTTCTTCCAAACAAATCCAGGACTAAAACACAATCTGTTTCACGACCTTCTTCCTACAAAAGTCTAATACTATGGAGAATGAAATTCAAAGATGCAATCCAACGAATAATAACTGGAAGCAACACCGCCATTTTCCTTTTCGTTGACAGACAACACAGGGTAAACTGTTTAAAAGAAACCCCAATAATTTGGCAAATAGAAGACAATCATTCTAATATGCCACCTATATATGTAATCTAAAACTGTAACACAACATATTTCAACCAATTAAAATTACCAAATTTCAAAAACTTACACTCTTTTACATTAATTTTCCAACAGCTTTCACCGTAGTTGCAGATACAACTGACTGCACGTTCTGACCCAAATAGTCTTAATTTCGTGACGTCACGGTAAACAAAATTCCCAACAAACGCAATCTACGCAATCCACCGTCCAGGCAAATTCCGTGTGGGCGTCGTAGAGTCCCTACTGTTTTTTGAGTGGAAGAGTAGGCCTAGTGCTTCATTCACCGAAAAAAATCCTCAAAATAAAGGGCCTAGAAATCCAAAAATCCACGCATCTAATAGCTAAATTTGATCGGTCTTTAGGCTAATGTGTGTGTGTGTGTGTGGGGGGGGTGATTTGACACTGGCACTTTGGCACCTTGGTGAAAGGCAGAGCTAAGATAAAGATTTTTGTATCTAAATAAAGTGAGCTTGATAACTGATAACTTATGTCGATTCATGTCACATCTAAAACGAGTAAGATCCAATCTCTGTAGGCCCTATAAATAAATAAATAAATAAATGACGCAGAAATTCGAGAAAGGACTGTAGCCTAATGACAAGATAGAGATGATGACAGTGTAGGTGTAATGGTAATTAAGTCCGAGTAAAAAAGAATATCCTTAGATATTTGTTGATCTAGGCCTATACAGTGTGTTGCTGTTTAAATCATTTTTCTATATTGGAGCCTACTTCGACTGCGGCACTCGATGCGGCTTATATTCTTTCACTTATAATAGGCCTATATTCATATGCAGCCCTTTTAAGATTCAGTACAAGTACCTCCTGCAACGTTTTTATTGAATGAAATGGCATTTCACATAGAGTTTGAACACATTACAGATTTTCCCCAGTGAAAAAAATTTGGTTACTTCCATTTTCTTCAATTTATCTTTATTTCTAATTTATATTGCATTATTATTATTATTATTTTACAGATTACGAGGGTGTCCGGGGCATTTTGATGATGTAGCCCATCTTTGGCCTTGAGCAAACAGAACCTCCGCGCCTCTCCCTTACGTAAGACGGTCTAACACCCCGGTGACGCGCAAAACAATCGTTCCATTTCTACGAGAATTATGAAAAAGTATTTAAGTATTTAAGAAAACGGTTTTGGTTAATTGATCGACAGTTAGTGAAAAAAAAGAGATAAACCATTTAGATTTTATTTAAAAAGTAACACACATCAGTAGGCCTATTTTGATATCTATGGTTTTGGTTTAAGAGCTATGATCTCGTTGAAAATGACAACGGCAAGAAACGTAAAATCCGCCTTTCCACTGGACGTAAAAATTAAAGCTAGGCCTTGTCCTTCCATGCCTTCGCTGAACTCTAAATGTCCTCTGACAGACGGCGAGGTCAAATGTGTAGATCTAATACAGTGAATTCAGTGAGCATGCTCCAACTCACAGCTTCTCAAGGTCATCGTTTTGTTGTTGTTATTATCATCACTCAACATTGTCTAGAGAAATCCAGGTAATGATTTTGTATGATTTAGATTGTAATTTTTTCTACTTGCTTAAATACATGAGGCGCTTCACATATGATTACATGTATGCATCGCTTCACGAGCGATTTGTTTGCTGTGTTTGATGGACCTGCCTTGTTTATATTTGCTACTGCGTTACAAAAACAGGGCATATCTGGAAGTGCGTACAGTTATATAGACTAAGACATCTACCTACATCTGCTTTTATTAGGTTTCCTTTTAAAAACAGGCATTACGTACTCTACGCACTTGGCGTGGGATTCGGGGCCCGTTAAAATTTTTGATATTTTAGAGGGCGAACGGTGCCATTTGGTACGGNTCCGTGTGGGCGTCGTAGAGTCCCTACTGTTTTTTGAGTGGAAGAGTAGGCCTAGTGCTTCATTCACAGAAAAAAATCCTCAAAATAAAAGGCCTAGAAATCCAAAAATCCACGCATCTAATAGCTAAATTTGATCGGTCTTTAGGCTAATGTGTGTGTGTGTGTGTGTGTGTGGGGGGGGGGGGGGGGGCGTGATTTGACTCTGGCACTTTGGCACCTTGGTGAAAGGCAGAGCTAAGATAAAGATTTTTGTATCTAAATAAAGTGAGCTTGATAACTGATAACTTATGTCGATTCATGTCACATCTAAAACGAGTAAGATCCAATCTCTGTAGGCCCTATAAATAAATAAATGACGCAGAAATTCGAGAAAGGACTGCAATGACAAGATAGAGATGATGACAGTCTAGGTGTAATGGTAATCAAGTCCGAGTAAAAAAGAATATCCTTAGATATTTGTTGATGTAGGTCTATACAGTGTGTTGCTGTTTAAATCATTTTTCTATATTGGAGCCTACTTCGACTGCGGCACTCGATGCGGCTTATATTCTTTCACTTATAATAGGCCTATATTCATATGCAGCCCTTTTAAGATTCAGTACAAGTACCTCCTGCAACGTTTTTATTGAATGAAATGGCATTTCATAAGACAAGATAAGAGTTTGAACACATTACAGATTTTCCCCAGTGAAAAAAATTTGGTAACTTCCATTTTCTTCAATTTATCTTTACTTCTCATTTATATTTCATTATTATTATTTTACAGATTACGAGAGTGTCCGGGGCATTTTGATGATGTAGCCTTGAGCAAACAGAACCCCCGCGCCTCTCCCTTACGTACGACGGTCTAACACCCCGGTGACGCGCAAAACAATCGTTCCATTTCTACGAGAATTATGAAAAAGTATTTAAGTATTTAAAAAAAACGGTTTTGGTTAATTGATCGACAGTTAGTGAAAAAAAAAAAGAGATAAACCATTTAGATTTTTGTTCAAAAAGTAGAATACTTACACACATCAGTAGGCCTATTTTGATATCTATGATTTATTGGTTTAAGAGCTATGATCTCGTTGAAAATGACAAGGGCAAGAAACGTAAAATCCGCCTTTCCGCTGGACGTAAAAAAGCTAGGCCTTGTCCTTCCATGCCTTCGCTGAACTCTAAACGTCCTCTGACAGACGGCGAGGTCAAATGTGTAGATCTAATACAGTGAATTCAGTGAGCATGCTCCAAGTCACAGCTTCTCAAGGTCATCGTTTTGTTGTTGTTATTATCATCACTCAACATTGTCTAGATAAAATCCAGGTAATGATTTAGTATGATTTAGATTGTAATTTTTTCTACTTTCTTAAATACATGAGGCGCTTCACATATGATTACATGTATGCATCGCTTCACGAGCGATTTGTTTGCTGTGTTTGATGGACCTGCCTTGTTTATATTTGCTACTGCGTTACAAAAACAGGGCATATCTGGAAGTGCGTACAGTTATATAGACTAAGACATCTACCTACATCTGCTTTTATTAGGTTTCCTTTTAAAAACAGGCATTACGTACTCTACGCACTTGGCGTGGGATTCGGGGCCCGTTGAAAATTTCTGATATTTTAGAGGGCGAACGGTGCCATTTGGTACGCTATAGAACTTTGATTCAACTAGGCAAGAGGGGACCAGAAATCGAAGGGGGGGGGGGGGGGGGGGGGATCCCCCTGACCCCCCTCCAAATCCGCCACTGCGTCTGTAATAGCAATATTTTTCTAAGATTGAAGGTATAATTTCAGAGCTGGACACTATGAGTCAATATGAAGTCATACCTCTTCTCGTGGGGTCCATGAAAGTGAATTTTGAAAGTAAGCAGTTTTTAATATATTGATCTGAAGTGTAGGTCCAAGAAAATGTACTTGTATGTAAATATAATTACAGTCTACAGTAATGTATTTATCAATTTAACCATACATTCTACTTTTTACTGATAAAATGTATGGTTTCAGTTGTATACACCATATGCAAGGCTTAAAATTACCGCCCGCCAACCACCAAAAACCACCAAAAAACCCCACTGATGTCATTGCAACAATGTATCTAACTGTTGATAAACAGTAAATCATACCGTTTTCCTTCCTATGAGGCATGATATTTTACCGCATGCTTTATACGATGAGGAATGTGTTTAGTCTCATTAGAAAAAATTACTATTTGTATCATCAATACACAAGGGAAATAAAAACCTCTTTCAGTATATCTGGATCTGTTGTACTTGTATAGATCTATGCTTTATTTAACAGCTCAAACCCAGTTGCCAGAGTCTTCATCAGCCACTTTACTGAAAGGGAAACACTTGGTAGTGATAGATACAGGGAGCCTTAGTGACCAAGATAGCATCTTAAAAGGTGATTTCTTCATAATTTCCAAATCCAGAATGTAGATTAAAGACAATAAATTAATGTTGTGCCTACCTTATGTTGCTAATTTCTCTTTTGGTATATATAGTCACAAAATGCTCAGGCACAAACGAAAAAAAAAATTAAAAATAGAAGGTTAAAAAAACGAGCAAATTATGGATTACACGGGGGCGTCTCGATAGTCCGAAGGTTCATTGGTCCGAAAAGTGGTAACGTTTTCATCGATTTTTTAATCAAGGGTTCATTGGTCCAAAGGTTCTATAGTGAATATTCGGACCAATGAACCTTCGGACTATTGAACCTTCGGACTATTGCTACGGCCCCGATTACACAACAAAGGAAAACAATAGAAATAAACAAGTAAAGAATTAATTGATCTTTGAGATGTTTTATATTATCTTTGATATCACTTTTTTTAATCAGTCCTGGAGCAGCAAGCCATGTCAGTGGGTGATGTACAGTATGTGGTGTGTACACATAGCCATGCTGATCATAAGGGCAACGCTGGAATGTTTACAAAGGCCAAACTAATTGAGCCACAAAGTTTATACTCAACACAGGTCCATTTATAACTTTTTATATTTTAAATAAATTAGAATTAAAATGATAAAAAACAAGGTAGCATTTCACAAGTTATCTAGTTTCTCACTTACAACAACCATCCGTTTCTTTGCTTATTTTGAAAAGTTAAGATCACAACATGGTGCACCAAGCTGAATTATGCATGTCTGATTTTTGTTATCAGATATTGTGTGTGAAGTTGTTTAATCAAGAGAACAATACCATACTTTTTTTTTTTTGAGAGAGAGAGAGAGAGAGAGAGAGAGAGAGAGAGAGGGTGGTGGAGGGGGGGAGTGGTCTTGCCACATAAATTATACCACTTTCGTACAATTTTTTCAGTCTTTTCCTATGAAACTTGATGACAGCATAGAAATCATCTCCACCCCTGGCCACACCGATCAGGATTTGACTGTGATTGTACGAAACACTAAAGAAGGAACAGTGGCACTGACGGGTATGTAGCTAGACCCAAGGGGCGTCTTCATTGGTGTATGCCCACTATAACTCCTTTCTGCCCCTCTCCACTCTAGTTAATAATCGCATTATGCATAGCAAGCAAAGTGAAATGGATTCCCTCTGTCTGAATGTTTTTTTCCAGTTTTTTTCATAAAATCAGGCATCAGTTCATCCCTTGGCAATAACAAAATACATTTTGTTAATATTTTCAGGTGATCTGTTTAGTTGTAAAGAAGATTTGACATCTGAATGGCTTTGGAGAGACTATAGCCAGAATCAAGTGAATCAGGAGCAGAGCAGGAAAACAATTCTCAGCATTGCAGACTTTATTGTGCCAGGGCATGGACCCATGTTTAAAGTTATCAAGTAGTTCCAAAGACCAATTATCACTTAAAGTCATACACCCCATTCTCATAGATTAGATCGACCTACATTGGATCGACCTAACTCCCTGGGGGTTCACGCTAAATAGCTGTCAGCCGGGCGGACACGAAAGTTAATTACCCCTTATAGCTTGTAGTAGGCGGGGACGGACACTTAAGGCGGATTATCTGACAGTAATCTAGTGAGACTCCCCGCGGTGATAGATCGATCTAAAAGTTGTGAGAACAGAGCCATAATAACTCTTCATTTTGGCCAAAAATTGGATTTTCCTGGAGTAAACGGCAATTTTCCCGTACTTACCAATGGTCAGCGACCCCATTTCTGCATTCAAAGTTAGTTCAGGGTTTTTTTCCTAAACATTTGGTTTTTTGTTAAAACCTCTTACGAAATTTTAACTGACGGAGCCCACTCTGACATTGCATAGTCACGTGATATCGAGCGATAGTTTCTGGTGACCTACTTAAAACCACGGGAAAAGCAGACAACAAACAACACTACATAACAATAATATAAGATTCATAAGATATATTCGTCTTATTGCTCAAATGCATTTATATCTACAATGTGTGCTATTCTGGGCTTTTTGTTATCCAATGCACTGTACAAAAACTCGCAACTTACGTCTGCGTATTGTGCCAGAAGTTATTTTGGTCTCGAATGAACACGAGAATCCGAGTGACATCCCAACATCATTGGCAACAGATGCCTTAACGACCGGGAAGAAAGGCATCGAAAGCCCTATTGACAAGCACAAATTTTAGTTTTACTACCATAATGGCCGTTTTAGTGGTAAAATGCAATAGAATATATTTCCATGCGTTGTTTACAATGTATTTCTTGCGGAATTTTGAATCTCAAAGGAAGAGTTATTATTACTTAAAGTGTGGTGACTGATTTTTTTTTTTTTTTGCAAGAAAGATGCCATTTAAGCAGGTGCATATGTTGCCAAGACAAAACTACTGTTGTCAAGACAAAACTACCAAACAAACAAAAAAGATATAAAGAAAAAAAAAGAAAATAATAAGAAATTATACATTTTGCTTTAAATCAATATTTCTTCAATGTGTGAGGCACAGGTATTCATCCATTAGGGATATAAATACTTTATCAACATTGTGGCACATTAGGTGTACTTGGAATTCTATTCTTTAAGAATTTGATTTTTCTAATTATAAGCAGTGGAAGAGGGTTAAGGAAAGCAGTTTAAAATGTCTTGCACATGGCAGAAATGATGTAGGAAACATTAAAATGGTCTACATAGACTGTGTAGTAGTGTATAGAATGTATCCATTACATGCATTGTTCACTTACATTCATAAAATGATTAATCCTGCCTACACTTTGTGTTTATAAGATATATAATTTAATTTTATCTTTGGAAGCACAGAGTGACATATTTAGTGAATTTGTATTTTGGGGAAAGAAAGTAAATTTAAAACCATGACAACATTTTACGGTAAAGACGACAAAGTATAAACATAAAATTCTGCAGAATCAACCAATTTTTAGTTTACTCTTAATAGTTCTACTTTCATACCAATGCCAGCTTCAATTTTTTATTCATAATATTGAACACTGGTAAAACATTCAATCAAAATGTTTTCCAGATGTATTCTTTAATTGCACTCCCCGTGCAATTCTTGAGCCCTCACCAGCCTTCTACTTGATCTCAATTTTTAGACAACAAATTCATATCAAGTAATGGTAATTAATAACAAATTTTGTTTTATTTAAAAAATATAACAAAACTGCCCTGTTTTCCTTTGAGTGAAAAACAAATTGCTGCAGAATCTGATATAAGATTTTACATAAACTTTTTTGTTATATAATAGTTATACAAATACAGATCATGAATACTCCAAAAAGATCAGTAAAATTTAATACTGAATGTTATAATCTCAAAAACTTGCTACCAAACAAAATATCTTGTTCATCATCAAATGCTGCAATACAGTGTATAAATCATTTATCTCAGCGAAAGGGGGGCAGTTGGATTTACAAATGTAACCAAGAAATTGCACTTCAATACAAAACTGCTTGAATTAATCAAAATATATCACAGTACATTTAATTTAATATAATAAGAACATAACAGGAGATACATATATATACACCCATTTTTCCCATAATATTATATTATTATACATAAAAAAGGACTTCTCTATACAAATAACATATCGTTACAATTCACTGAAATAATTTTAAGTAATCATCCTGGTTAGAACCCATTCCTGGCTCAGTTGTGAAATGTTATTCAAACAGAGACCCTGTGGTTCAAATATTAAATTATAATTATTGAAATAATTTGTTCTCTTCTCCATATCAAAAGCCTTTACTTATTACTCAGATTTGGAGTCTCCGTCCTCTTCAAAAAATACAGTTCAGATGTGTAACTGGTAGTGGCATCTTAGACTTCTCTTTGCCTGCAGTAAATATATTTAGAGCACTTCCTTTACAGTGGTTAATGTAACATCTTGTAAGAGGACTGTGAATAGAAAAAAGGTTAGAATGTAAAGTATGGATTAAATATGGCATGTAAAAATTTAAGTAATAAATTGTGTGAGGGAAAGAACCCTTTAAAATAGATTATATAATATATATATATTTTTTAATTTGAAAGAGAAAAAACACCTAAAAATGCATGTCCATGACCTCTTATGAAGAGTCTGATCATCTCAAAAGTTCAAAACACTGAAACTAATTATTGGAATGTACTGTAAGTTTCAATAAAGTTTTAAAAAAGAGTTACAAATTTTAGACAGTATAATTTACTAACCATCTTCTTCATACTGATCTGGTCTTTTGTCCAGCTTGAAATAACTTCTTCTCATTGGCATAGGAATAGAGGGAAAATCCATAAGCTCAATGAAACACCGAGGTATCTGGAAACATATATACAATATGTATATATGTGTGTGTGTGTTGAAGACTTCTTTATCCCACTTTTTGTATAAAAAAAGAAATTTTATTTCCAACCTAAACCTTTGATGTACTACTGGTAGTCTTACCTCCAGTGCTGCATTTTTGTTTTTCGAAGTCCTCACTTTCTTTTTGCATGGTGCTGTTTTGTTCTTTATAGAGCAGACTGTTTCTTCACAGACAAGATTTGCTTCAGACTTTCTCATACGCACTTTTTTAAAATCAGATTTTTTTCTTTTTTGGGCTTTTTTTTGTGAATTCTGTGTATGATCTTCTGGAGTCTTGCCTAAAGTATTAAGTGGCACTTCACTTTCCTAAAAGCAAATTAAAATCTCTTTGAATTAGTAGTATGAGATAATGTTTTCAATAATTGATCAATACAATTGATAGGAAAATTTTCAAAAATGTTCTTTGAAATCAATATACTGTAATTATATTTTTGCATATCTTGAAAGACGTTATTGTATAATTATGTTTTCATTGGTAGCATCATTTTCGTAAATTATTTATTGATATCATCTAATCTTGCCTGCACTTGATTATCTCTCTCATTGGAGGTTCCACCTTTCTTTTCTGTTGCTTCCATCTTATCTGTAAGAGTCTTATATTTTTGCTTCCTTGCATCCCTTACAGACTTTATGTTCTTACTCTTAGCTTTCAACTCCTTTACTCTTTGTGGTTCATTATGCAAAGTTTGGTTACTATCTTCAACTGACTTGTCCTGGTTGTTCTTATTTTTCACACTTTTCTTCAAAAGTAGAAAGTAATTTAACATGAACAAAAATAATTTTAGAATGTCTTTCAGGGACCCGTTTCACAAGTCTTAAATTTTTGGGTAACTTACAGACTGTTAATTTAAATTGGTAGCCAACTTAACCTAATGTCGACTTCGCAATTTTGACTTGAAAGCATTTTTCCAGTTGCTGCACAATGCACGTACTGGGTAGTTGACATGCATGCACACTGAACCTACATGAGCTACCAGTACATGCACTGTCATCAGGGCTGATAAAAAAATATTGTTAAGAAAATTTAAATTTGCTTTAGAGGCCAAGTTAAAAGACCAAAAGAATGCGTTACTAGTAGGTGGTCTATTAGCTTCATTATGAAATGCTAATATGTCTATCTGTCTGTACCATAATTCCACAAAAGAACTATTTACCAAACCCATCACATACAAAAGCACAAGATAACAGTCATATGTGTAATCAAAATATTTTCCCTCCCACTCTTGAAGTGATGGGAAATCGTGTTTTAATTTACTCAATAAAACTGAAGAATCATGCCAATATAAATATGCCTTTTTTTTAAACCTTTCTCTGCACTTTTGCTAATGGTGCTGTAAATGTTGTTCTAGTAGTTTCCACTTTGTCTTCAAGAGGATTCACAGTCTCTGAATTTGGATTTAGTTTGGTTCTGGGTTTACCTTTTCTTTGTCGTTCACTCTGCAAAAATTGAGAAACTAGGCTTAAATGTGAAATATTACCTAGGGCCTGTTAATAAAATTGCAATAACAATAAAAGGGAGGAGTTAAATACTGTACCTGCAAAATTCTTCAATCTAATTATCTTATCCAGTTTATTAATTTAAGAAATAAAATCTTGATATAATTTCACATAGACTAGATCTTTTTTATTACTACTTATTAATAAGTATCTGATGACTCTTATACCTTACTTCCTGGCCTTTTCTGTACTAGGGATTCTTGGGTTTTATTCTGGTCATAGTTTTCTTCTTCTGGCACCTTGCATCTCAGACTTTCATTATATTCCTATACACAGATGAAGCACTTGTCATGAAAATGAATTGCATTCAGTATTTTCATAATATCCATGTTCACTCTGTTGTCTTCATGTAATTAATTGCTTTACGATATTAACTGACATGTTACCTCAACTGGAGCATCACATTCTGGAGCCTCAAGAGTTATTTCTTCTTGGTCCTCTCCCTCTAAAAAGGCAGATGCAATTTGAATACCAAGTTATTCTAACATGTCACACCTTAAATTCTTTTGCATCTATAAAAAATCACTGAAACAATTAAGTTAATGTTTTTAAAGTAAATTACATCTAATACAGAAAAACAACTAATGAGTTTACTTAAATTAACAAAAAAACATTTGAATTGTTTTATAATGCAATTACATGTTGATGCAGCACTGACAATTTTAAGTTGAAAGTTACCATCACCACAAATGTCTGTCATTTCACTTGCAGCAGTAACCCTGGATAAATCAGGGGGAATAACTTCAGCAATATCTAGGTTCTGGGATGTAAAGAGAACTGTTGAGTTCTTTGGACATAATCGCCCCTGTCTCATTAACGGTTTGTTACCCTTTACTGGTGACCTAAAAAAAATTGTTGTCATGAACAAAACATGACAAACATAGAAAATAGACACCAAATGCAGAAAAACATTGCAACAACACACAGACATAAAAGCTGTCAAATGTGCAGACAAAAAGCAGAAAATAGGTCATTTTGTCAATTTTGATGCAATAATAAATGATGCTTATGACAGCACAGTCAATCAACACCAAATTTAAATCATGCACAACAGGTAACATGGACAATAAAAATATAGTTTCAGGACCATGACAGTTAAATTCACATAAAGAAAATCCCAATATGTGAAAAATGATGACAGTGCATAAAGTAATATGTACTACATTTTATAATGCTTATGGGCATAAACATCAATGTGAAAATACTGAAAATATTACTTGTACAGAGATTCAGGTGGATCGGAGTGAAATACCACATCTTGAAAATGACAGTGTTTGAAAGAAAAAATGAAAGGAAAACATAAAAATAATCCAATAAAGCTGCTTTTCAAACTTTTAATCTAGCTGTATTAACATGACAGGAATATTTCCATTGAGTTTGAGGATAATAAGGCACTGTTATTCATCTATAGCATTAATGTTGGCAGTATACAAAATAGTTTTCTTTTTTGTAAACTTACTTAAAATATTATGCAGCATTTACCTGCATTATTATCACCAATCCCTAATTATGAGACACTGTTATTTTAGACTTTCACAAACTGTATCTGGCAGAGAGCTAAACTTCTGGGAGTTTAAAGTCCCACCATGAAAATCTCAACATGTGTTTCATGTAACCTCATTTAATAGCCACTTGAGACTTAATAAGCCAAGTGACTTAATAACTCTGATCCTTGCTTGCGACTACCCAAGGGTCAATTACAGATTGACCACTTTTTTTATCCATATAGCACTTAAGACTATGTGAAATATGAAATTTCATAACAAACTTGCTCCACTGCCACGCAAGCATATTGTCCCTGAGTACTCAGTGTGAGATAAAATTGTTAGTTTTGCTTGAGGCGAACAGCATTGTCAACTAAAAGGACTTATTACGAGAACAACATCGGCAATTAAGAGCTGCAATATTAAAGAGAAAATTTCCCGACGTAGCGATGTATCAACCTTACCTTTGCACCCGGTAATCTTTATATCAAATCCTCACGTTTAAACATTCACACGACCAACATCCTCTGCTTTTTATTTTCATTTGTTATTATTTATTTTTTTCGTCTTCCCAAGTTCTTTTAGGTTATTTCAGGTATTCAAATATTTGTCATTTTGTTTTCCTTTCTTTTAGTTTTAGTCATCGTAACCAGGAAAATGACTAAATCTAGCCCTTAGTATCGATGTTCTGCATGACCGTTGAATTATTTGTTTGAATTGGTATTCATACTAATGACAATTGAATTTGCTTATTTTTGTTACTATGTTCTGCATGATATTTTATTGGGCACTGAAATGGTTCACAAATTCAAAATAAGGGATAAATCAACGAATTGTTCTAACAGCCACATTCAACTCTAATAACAAACTTAATTCAGGGCTGCTATTGTTGGAGAACTTTTTCTGCCTTGTTTTTTTCTCATGTTGACACATTGTATAGAGATAGAGCGCATGGTCTCATCTCTGTCCGAAAAAAAGGGTGATGCAAGGTACGCATCTGTTTTTAAAGATCAGTAACCCGATATTTGCAGTTGTGTTTAATCATACACTTTTTCGTATACTTCTTCATTATTTTTTTAAACGTAAGCATATAATAATTGATATTTCCACATACCCAATATTTAAAGAAATGTCAAATGATTATAAAGACATTTTAAAACTATAGATACACTTTTTATCAATTATACGCAATTATGTTTATGTACATCATTGTTAACGATGGCAACATAAGAAAAATGTGTCCAAATTAAGATGGTGTAACTTCAAATTATATAATGTTATATACTTATTTACCGATCTTTATTTCACATTAAAAGTGATTGTTAGTAACAGTAACAATTTGGCACAGCTTTTCATTACTCTGACGTGGCCCTAAAAATTAAGGGCCGTTGGTATAGAAAAACAGCTGGTTTCACCAATGGACTTTGGTTTCTCCAAGGAGGCGTTTTAATTTCCTCATCATCTTAGCATTCTGGGATGAGAACGGCAAAAGACATGGAACTTCCATGCTGCCCTTACTGCTCTTGGATCGTCGCTGCCTTCCCATGACTTCTACTGTAATTTCGCCTCCACTCATGACGAAGAAATAACAAACTTTGGAAATTTCCTTAGGGAAGTGACCGACTGTTATGAAATTCTTTGTGGTTGATTTCAGGTCCTGGCGTTTCACGCTGATGCAATATGGGTCTACCCTTTTTCCTACTTTATCATTGAAGTCGATGCTAAGCCTTTCACCCAATGCTAAGCCTTTCATGAAATAAAAAAAATAAAAAAAAAAAAATTTCAATGGGGAGGGAGGGTTACAAATTAAGTAGTTTCATCGTGTCTGAAGAACAGCGTGCACTATAAATCAAAGCAGAACCATTCAACTGTGACTCATCATAAAAGCTGGGTGCGTCAAATTACAACGTCCACAGCCGCCCCGACAAACCAAGACGTCATTTTTGCAAAAAAATAAAAAAATTTGTCAGCCGTCTAGCCATCTTTGAAAATATAGGCCGCCCAGTGATGTCAGCGGCCGTCCGAATGACGGCTGGACGGATCGCTGGGATTAGTCCACATTTATTCTGCTAGGGGCTTAATGACACCAACTTTGGGCACTCATGCAGATTGTGCCTGCTTGTATCGAACTAAATTCTGAAAAACAGTGCAGTACTGCTGTTCGATGTGGTTTGCTGCAGTTGTCCTGAGCTCTCAGAAAATGATCTGAAAAGCAGTTGATCGTTGTACTATTCTTCTTGATATCCACTTCGTGATATCCATGGTCAGCTTCTCTAAGTTGAACTTATAAACAGTGTATGGTTTCACCCTGTTTATTTATTTGTTTGTAATTGTAAAAATTACCCCTGCCACCCTGTTACTTTGGAGGGTTAAGCTGGATCAAGTCCGTGTAAAAATTCTTTGAAGCTTTGCAGGAAAAATCAATCATCCTTTGTTTCTCTGGTTCCTTGTTTAGCCCGATGTACAGATTTTATCTAGTGTCCCCAGGTCTGCTGGCACTGCTCTTTGAAAATACCGCACAGGAAGATTTTTACCTGAGATAAATATCGCCAGCAAGAGCATGTTCGATACACTCAAGACAAAGGCTATCAGAGAGCTGAAGGGCACTTAACCCTCTAATTAAGAGGTAAAGGAAGTTCCAGCTAGATGGACGGTTAAGATAGGACTTCTGATGGTAACTGGTATTGTGTACCTTAGTTCTGTGAAAGCAAACTAGAAGGGTCAGAACATTGGTACATATATAAATTATACAGAGGATTTGTACATTCAGGTGACGTAACTTATAACCGAAGAGGATTTTCAATATTATTCCCTGAAAATACACTGAATTTATAGAAAATAATATCATGGTTGGCCACAAAAATTGTAAGCACAGTACATCTGTGCGTATGCCTGGTTACGCCCATGAATAATGACAAATTTGAAAGGTCTGAAATAAATAATTATTATTATTTTAATTGTCATACCTTTCAAAAATGCAGAAAAAAGGTGGAAGTTGAAAACTGACAATAAAACTTCATAAATTTAGAGATTGCACTTATGAAATGTTGACTTCTTCTTGTCATATAGCTTCCAAAATGAAATTTTCTAACTTATATCCTCTGTAGAAAAGTTCATTGAAGAAACCATACTATAAAAGGTAGGAAAACTAAGGTACTCTGTTAAAGAAATTTCCCTACCTAGCTGGTAGCCTTACACTACAGTAGGATAAGCCTATGTAAAATGTACACACACTTATTTTTCACTCGTTTTCTTAGATAGCATCTATTGATTTGACATCGACGACTGTACCTAGCTGCTTAAACCCCCTTTACACTGGACGGCGTCCTTTCTGCGTCCTTTGTGCGACCATGAAACTGGCCAGGACGTCATCGGACGCTCAAAGAACGCACAGTGATCGCCAAGATCACACAAAGAACATTCAAGCATCGCCAAGGACGCCATGGACGCTGCAAAGTTTTGAGCATGTTCAAAACAATCCCAAAGAGAACGTGATGGAAGATGGATGCTGCAAGGTTGCTCAATGGACTCAGAGAAGATGCACTAGCATCACTGCCGTCGTAGAAAGGAGGCACAAGCATTGCTTTGGTTGCAGAATGAAAACTCGAAGATCGTCCTGTGTTCGGCACGTAGAATATTATTTGTTTTACTCTCAAACGGGTCCGTGCTGAGGTATTTTTCACCAGACAGAAATTCTAAGGGCAACAGTGGTCTCATATCAGCCTCCGATTGTTCTTTCTCCTAAAATTCATGAACAGATCCATTTTTTGTAGGTTATTATAAAACGAATATTTTGCCTTTTTTACAAGATGCAGTAATTGTCAAAACTTTTTGAAGAATGCGTTATCTGAAAAGGGATTCAAACATTCTATGTTGTGTCAGTCATACTTTCATGTTTTCGGCACCTGTCCATCCTTCGTATAAGGATAACAATGAGCATCTGGCTTATTATCAGTCCATGCAGACCTTGTATCACTGTAGTTTAAAGCGTTTATTTCCATTTATTTGTTTTGTTTTCTGGAAATGTTCTTAATTGGATGACCTGGTCAGAACCGATGAAAAAATATGAGTTAGAATATATAGAAAGACGCCCAAACAACGTTATCGGTCAAGCAGGATGCAGAATGATCGTAGAATGGACGCCACTGATCGCCGATGAAGGTACAGAGAACACAGCAAGGAAACTCAATGGTCGTCAAACATTGCAATGGATGCCGTGGGTTGCACAGGGGACGCACAGGAGAGGCAGACAGGTTGCTCAGTGGATGCACAGGTCGCTCGCAATTTTACAGATAAAATCAAGATTCGGTCGTTCGAAGGATGCACAGAGGACGCCTTTATACTGAGACACGATTTAA